CAGCTAATATTCAGAACACATAAGGAATTCCTACAACTCAACAATAAAAAATAAAAAAAAACAATTAAGAAATGGGCAAAAGGTTTTTGAATAGACATTTCTCCAAAAAAAGATATACAGCCGGCATAAGCACATAAAAATATGCTCTACGTCACTAATCATTAAAGAAATGCAAACAAAACCACGAGATATCACCCCACATCTATCAGGATGGCTGTTAATCAAAAAAGAGAAAATAATAATTGTTGGTGGAGATGTGGAGAAACTGGAACCCATGTGCATTGCTGGTGGGAAAGTTGGATGGTACAGCCACAGTGGAAAACAGTATGGTGATTCTTCAAAAAATTAAACATAGAATGACCATATGATTCAGCAATTCATTTCTGGGTATATACCAAAAAGAATTGAAAATAGGGACTTGAACAGGTATTTGTACACCCGTGTTCATAGCAGCACTATTCACGACAGCCAAAAGATGGACGCAGACCAAGTATCCATCAACAGATGCATGGATAAACAAATGTGGCATACACATACGTACAATGGAATATTGTTCAGCATTTAAAAAGGAAGGAAATTCTGATGCACGCTACAACATAGATGAACGTTGAGGACATTTTGCTAAGTGAAACAAGCCAATCACAAAAGAACAAATACTGTATGAATTCTCTTATAAGAGGTATCTACAGTTGTCAAATTAATAAGTGATTCTACTTTTAAGAGTTATCTAGAAAATTGAGTGGCAGTTTCTAGGGACTGGGGGGAGGGAGAAATTAGGAGTTGTTTAATGGGTACAGAGTTTCAGTTTGGGATGATGAAAACGTTCTGGAGATGGATGGTGGTGATGGTTGCACAACAGTGTGAATGTGCTTAATGCCACTGAACTATATACTGAAAATGGTTAAAACGGTAAATTTCGTGTTTTGTATATTTTATCAAAATAAAACAAACAAGTATAATTTACCTGGTCAACTGTAGTTTATACAGAGGTACCTACAGTGCAAGCTTTATATGCTTCCTTAGGATCCAGTGAGATTTAATTTTGTTGAAAAGTGAAAAATAGAATGTTCACAATCAAGATAAAGCTTGAAAATTAATTTTTTAAAGTTATTATTTAGTTTTTTTTTTAGGTGGCAGTATGTTGAGGTCTTTTGTTCAGAAAGAAGTGCCTTTCTTTTTTGGTACCTTGGGAAAGAGACGCGAATACCTGTGGCTAAACCACATTCCAAAAATACTTCCAGAGAGGACAGTAAGAGTTGAGCATTAATTGTGGGAACGAAGGCTCTGGGTGAGAGACTTAAAAAGGAACTCCCACTTGTGGGAAAAAGTGAGAAATAAAGCAAAGAAGTTATTCTTGTCTGTCTTCTTCAAAGTCAGGTTTAGAAGGGCAATTGCAGGGATCGTCATTTCTGAGCATGCAAAGGTCAGGGAGAGACCGGGTGTCAGTCAGCATCCCGGCAGGAAAGAGAAGGCACACTCAGATGAAGGTAATTTGAGAAAAGTTCAATAAAAGGCCCCCTTTGTAGGAGTGTGGGCAGGCTCCAGGGAAACCTCAGGGACAGTGCAGTGTCCAAGGCTGTAACCATTGGGCTTGATGGGACCAGGGCAGGGAGCAGTTACGGGGGCCTGGCAGGAGTCAGCTGTGACTCGCAGGGAGGCAGTCCTGGGCATCAGCACTCTGACCTCCCTCTCCTTCTCTCCCATATCCTCCTGAGCATGCTTTAGCTAAAGCTGGAGGGCAATGGAACCCACTAAGGTGGTCCACAAGGGTCTACCTCCAGGGGCACAGCACTCTGACCTCCCTCTCCTTCTCTCCCATATCCTCCTGAGCATGCTTTATCTAAAGCTGGAGGGCAATGGAACCCACTAAGGTGGTCCACAAGGGTCTACCTCCAGGGGCACAGAACAGGATAGAGATGCTGGGTAGCAAGTGGATCTGGAGGAGAAACAGAAGACACCCAGCCCAGAAGCCCACCAAAAATGTCTCCAGATTGAACAATGTCCTACCACATGTGTTTTTCAGATCTCATCTATGGGATATTTTTGCCCATACATTGACCCAGAAAACCTCATTTTCTGGCAACTAAAAAACTGACTTAGACAAAACGTGAGAAGAAAAACATGCCATCTGATAGGATTTTTTTTCACTTGTTCTATATTGAATTAGTAGACCACAAGGAAATGTAATTGCACTGTAAAGAAAATATTCTGTACTTCTGAATTCCTGTTATAATTAGGTTCAGTCACCCTGCTCATGACTAGGTTGGTGATTAGCTGTATACGTTCCCGATCCTTTCAACTTTGAAATTCACTAGAAGTTTGACTCAGGCTTTCTTTGTCTGAGCAGTTGAGCCTTCCTTAAACTTAAAATTCCTATGCTTTATTTTATATTTTCAGAATTATAAAAGTCACCTGAGACAATTTAGGCCCCAGAAACCTACACACACCAACAGTTAAGAACCCAAAGTCAGACTACCTGGGTTCGAATCCTTACTCCATCACTTATTAGCTGTGTGACCTTGGGCAAGTCCCTCGATCATTCTGGGCCTCAGTTTCCTCATCTGTAAAAGGGAATCATAACTGGCTACACCTCGTAGGGTTGTGGTGAGGATTAAATGAGATGATGTGCCATTCACACAATGCCTGGCACATAGCAAGCAATCAGTAAACGATGACTATTGTTATTCTTGTCTCTTCCTTGCTGTTTTCCCACCTCCCTTTCATTCCCACCCTCAACTTCTGCTTAAACAACTTCTCCATGGCCTCCATTAAGCAGACCCTCATTTTATTTGGCATGTCTCCCTCCCCTTTCCTCCTGTGTCCATTCAGATCGTGAGCACGTCCAACGCCTCCCAGGCTGTCACCTTGGTGTATGTCGTGGGCAATCAGAGCACGCTTCTCAACGGCACTGTGGCCAGCAGCCTCCTCAGCCAGCTATCGGCTGAGCTGGTGGGATTCTACCTCACCTACCCACCGCTCACCATTGCCGAACGTGAGTACATCCATGTCACACAGGGACCCCGTTGTTCCCCGGGGCCTTCCTCCATTCAGTAAACATTTGTTGTGCCAGGCCACATACTACCTCTTTTATCATAAAACAGCTGAAATATGTGATAAATTGGGGTTGAATTGATGAAAAGTTGATTGCAGATGGAAAGAAAGCACTTGGTAGGTGCCTTTACCCTTCACATGTGTCTCGTTTCATTTTATCCTCATGACCACCCTGTAAAGTAGATGCAAATTTAGCTCCATTTTGCAGAGGAGAAAACTGAAGCTCCAAGAGATTTCACCAGACACCCAGTCTCACATAGCTCATGCAACATGAACATAGGGTTTGAATCCAAGCAGTCTGCTGTCTGAGCTTGCAATCTTGCCTGCTAGGGCATCAGTCTTTGGGCAGTCTGGATTGCTACAATTTTCTCCCATTTCTGTCATTAGCAAATGTTACCAGACCTTAAGCCCCTGCCCTGGCTATAGATATCATAATGCAGCTCATTTGCAATCAATGTCATGACTTCACTTGATGAAATCCCCATAGTCGAATGGCCACATCTTCCTCTAAAGTTCCAGTTACATAATACTCATTACCATGCAGTAGACATAGTCTCAAAGACGATGCAGTCTGCATTTGGTATCTAAACACTTATGTGGTAGCCAAAGGAAGTAAAGGTTTGTACTCTTAAATTTAATCAGTCTTTCACAAGGTCACTGGGAAAGAGTTTTTTTTAAAACACAATTAGCAAAATTGTCTCATAATTTCCTTCTCTGGTTGTTTTTGATACTGTAAATAAATGAGATCATGTGTGTGAATGTATTTAGCACATAGTAGCCACTGAGATTTTTTTCTGAATGTTTGTTTAATGGCAAGCTTTTGCAGACTTTATGTAGTGAGGAAAGATGACTCTGGATTTTATGGAAAAGATGATGTCATAAAAGATAGCATTGTGTCACATCCAGCAAGTGAAGAATTAATTTTCTTTCATCATTTTGATATTCTGATAATAACAGCTCAATAAGATTTATTGAGCATTAGCTATATGCCAGGCACTGTACTGAACCCTTTACATGTATTAACTCAACATACTTGTAAGGAAATATGAGACTTTTTGTTACAAGTATTTGGCTAGTAAACTTAAGTCCTTGACATTGGAAAAATCCATTCAAGAGATGATTATTCCTAAAAATGTCAGTGATGGTTAGATAATTTTAAAGAGAAAGCTACAGCTAGGACAGGTTCTATCTAGGTCTTGATAATGAAGGCATTCTACTTAAGAAGGTTTTGATGGAAAAACTGAAAGAGCAGAAACTCACAAATCCTAGAAAACTCTTCATCTGAAAGTTAGCCCTTTACTGAGTCTTTTCATGTTTTGAACAGCAAGGATAGTTTTAGCCTTTATGTTCTGGAGTTTCCAAGAATGGTAAAGCAGGATTTATCTGCTTGCTATTTTCTCACTAATGTCCATTTCCCTTAACAATATTTATATATAAAACCGACAGAAGGCCGGCCCGTGGCTCGCTCGGTAGAGTGCGGTGCTGATAACACCAAGGCCACAGGTTCGGATCCTATATAGGGATGGCCGGTTTGCTCACTGGCTGAGCGTGGTGCTGACAACACCAAGCCAAGGGTTGAGATCCCCTTACCGGTCATCTTTAAAAAAAAAAAAATATATGGGAGCTGACCAGCACACATTTCCTTATAGTTAAAATGACGTATTCAACAAGGTGCTAAAAGTAGTACGCTTTACCTTATGAGTGCTTCCTTCAACTCTGAACGAAGAGTTTTAAAGTAGTAGCTCTTCTAGTTTAAGTGTTTGTTCACAGATTAAGATAGTGCTAACTTTAAAAAGTTTCTAAAATCGTTGAGATTGATGTTGTAAGTCCGTGGACAAATGATTCTTTTTAACAGTCGGTGCAGCCTTTTAAGAACTCATCTTCTATTGTTTCTATATTGATTTGAAAACTGAACAACATCTAATTAGATATAGTAACTTTTAAAATTCTACCTTTGACTCTTTTTTTTTAACACCATAGCACTGGAATATCCCAACCTTGATATATCAGAAACAACCAGAGACTATTGGGTAATTACAGGTAATCTCTTATTTTGTTATTTCCCACTCTTCTTGCTGTCAGGTTGGTTTGTTTTTAAAAGCTGAGTGCCATTCAGTAATAGAATGGGCACTTTTCACTGGTCCTGTCTGATAGGTCAGGGTGTTACTTCTGCAGAACCAGAAGGGGATGGAATAGACTGAGATAAGAAAAAACCTCATTCTGAGGTTGAGTATTAGATAAACAATGCAAAACAACTACCTTTAAACTCCCCACCTAGTGGCCTCCTCTTTGCAAAAAGCGGATCTATCAGGAGTTCCAGCGTTAGCCTGGGGACGTCTAGGGCATGTCCATAGAATGGTTATCTGTTTATAGATGGTAAGCCTTTCTGCATTGCCCTACAAAAGCCATATTAAGTCAGAGGAGTGCATGGCATGTGCTTGTCTCTCTCCCCAGCACGAGTCCCACACCCACACTAGTCCTGACAGTGAGGGCGGATGGAAGTGGAAGGGTGTTATGTGGCATTTTTTTCCCTTGACATTTTCCAGCTGAGCTTTATGAAACAGCAAAAAGTTCTTGTGTTTTTCAGAAGCCAGACAGTAGCTCTGAAGATTACAGAAACAAGGACTGAGCGCAAAGAGAGAGGACGGATGTTTGTAGGAGGAAAAGTGGCCAGCCCAGCCAAAATGGGGAGGAAGAGGAGGAGGAGTATATGAGTCTGCGCGGGCTGCTGTAACAATAGTACTGCAGACTGAGGGGCTTAAGTGACAGAAATTTATTTTCTCTCAATTCTGGAGCCTGGAAGTCTGAAATCAAGGTCTCACAGGGTTGGCTTCTTTGGAGGCCTCTCCTCTTGGCTTATAGATGGACATCTTCTCCCTGTGTCTTCACAGGGTCGTCCCTCTGTGCATGTCTGTGTCCTAATTTCCTCTTCTTTTAAGGACACTGATCATATTGGATCAGGGCCTATCCTAATGCTCTCACTTTAACTTCATTACCTCTTTAAAGACCTTGTCTCTAAAAATGTCACATTCTGAGGTACTAGGGGCTAGGGCTTCAACATATGAATTTGGGGGGACACAATTTAGCCAGTGATGAGAGGGTGGAAGGTCCTACAAGTCTTGGAAGATGTGCCTGGCCAAGCAGCCTGGTCTCAAACCTCCCTTCTTCCCTCTTCCATCCTTTCCCTCACTTGCTGTCCCAAACAAGCAACAGATGGACTGCTGCCTAAAATACTAGGGAGCATGCACACCTGCTTGATGAAACCTGCTCAAGACCTCTTGTAAATTGCAGAAAATTGGATTCTCTCCCCTCCTGCAGAGCTACCTGTACACAGAGATGATTTTACCTGCTAAGAAGGCAAACTAAGGAACTGAAAAAAAAACCCAAAAGAACAACTCACCAGGGTTATGCCCAAGAGAGAGACAGTGCTAACCCAGCAACACATTTTTGGAGCCAGCAGGTTATGTAACATTTACAAAATCATGATTCCTCTACAAGGAATGGTAATTTTTAACTTGCAGACATTTTTCCTCTTCTGTTAACTTACAGGTTTACATCAAATAACACATTCTCTTTATACAGGTCATCCTCATCTCCCTGTATCCTGCCCTGCCTCTGTTTCAGTGATAGAACCTTCATAAAAAGCTCCACACCTGGTCTTGTTTTCAGGACTCTCCTGGGACTTAACGCCCTGCCCACTCACTTATGTAACCTTATTTGTTATTGCTGTTAGTAATCAGAATAAAGTGTGGCCTCCATCATTGTGTTTGGGGTTGGTTGGGTCAGTTGCTTAGTGCTTGGGAGGGGCTGAAGCTTTGACCCCTGATCACTTTCTGAACCCCTGGGCAGCCACCACCAATCTGCTGCATCATTTACAGAAGAGGTAGGAGCCGAGAGATGAAGGTAGCTTTATTCAGCCCTTAACGCCCAGACATTCATCATGGACTGTCTTCTGCTTATTGCTAACAGCCTAGAGGATTTGGAGCAACTCCCCTTTCTGTAGTTTCTGTTATAAAACCCTGACATGTTTTCATCTGTTTTCTAACTAAACTTATATTAAATATGTTTTTATATACTGTACACTTGTCTCCCAGAAGATGGCTCCGTCTTTGATGGAAAATCATTGGCTTAGGGTGACTTATGCAATCCCTCTTTACAGAGAGTCTAGGGGCCACCCTGCCATTTGGGGATTCTACAGTCAGGTTTGTTGATATGAATCAAGACAGAAATGCACAGACTCAATATTGCAGCCTGACAGAGGGGAGAGCCCATCTCAGATTTATTCTTCTGTCTTTATTTTACCCACTAGAGTCAAACTATCCCAGATCCAGCAACGGAAGGATCTCTTCTGGTCTCAGCTCTGCCATTTACTAACCTAATGTGTCCTTGAGCAAGTCACTCAGGCCCTCTGGGAGAAGTATGAGCTGAACATTAAGATTCTTTTAGCTCTGAATGTGTAGGATTCAACCACAAATAAAGCAATTTAGCCTGAGCACAGAAGGCTGAACTAGGCCGATGGTTTGCATTTTCAAGCCCAGTGTGACTATAAATAAGGAATAAGAGAACAAGTCACAGAATCTTCTGGACAAAGCCCCTCTAACACAGCTAGGGTCCTGCCCACCTCCTCGAAGCTGAATCAGTGGTGGCTAAGAGTGGTGGCCAGAGCCCTGGTTGATGTGCTCAGGGTGCTGCTGTCTTCTTGGTCACCTGTGCTAGAGCTGAGCTTCTGTGTCATAGGAGAGATATAAGTGCACACCCCTTTCCACTGCCTTCCAGGCAGGCAGAGAGGGCTGGGGAGCCTGAGCCTGCTGTGTGCCTCAGAGGGAGAGAGGAGCTGCATCCTGGGACATATTTCCATACTTTCATGTTATTTCTTCCTCTTGTAAGGATGTGGATAGCAAAGACAGAAGCACATTGTAACGACACTGCTACCATTTATTGACATCCTACCAAATACCTTATAGCACAATGCTAGGAGCATTTTTTATTGAATTCTCTGTTCTTAACAACAATGCAATCAGGAGTAGATTTTGATCCCTGTTTTTTCAGATGAGGAACTGAGGCCCAGGGAAACTAAGCAACTTTCCAAGAACACTCAGTAAGAGGGTAAGGGGAAGCTGGGGTTCGAACTCAGCCCTCTGCCTCCAACCCCGGCTCTCCCCCAGCCGCCTCCTAAGAAGGACACGTTCTCTTTGCAGATAGCGCCAATGAAGCATATGGGAATTATTTAGTTATTGATTCACTTTGACTCTATGGGAGGTTCTCCCAGCCTCCTGCACTTCCCTGGAGGCATCTTTTTAAATATTTTGTTTGTAAAATACACACAACGTGAAATTTACCATTTTAACCACTTTTAAATGTACAATTCAGTGGTATTAAGTATATTCACAATGTTGTACAACCATCATTGCTATCTATTTTCAGAACTTTTTCATCACCTGGAGGCTTTTGACTCTTCCCCTTTCTTGATGTCTGCCTTTGAATATACTGAGATTCCCATAAAATAATCCACACTGATCCCCCTCGACTGTCCTGTGTCCCCTCTGTAACTCTCGTCCAGTGGTCAGGAGAGGCCAACTTAGAAGTAATAGTTGAGAAGTTTGATCTGTAATTCTACAAACGGGGGCATCTTTGAACCAGGGATTTCTTTTCTGGGGCCAGGAGGTAGCTGGACTGTCCTCGGCCTGATGCCTGTGTCGTGAGGGATTCGAGGGTCCTCCCTGGGACCTGACAGTGGGAAGAGCGCAGCAATGTTTTATCTTTGTTTGCAGGAATTTGGCTGACAGCTGAGTGGGAGTCCCTCATCTGTCACAAGGGCCCTAGAAAGAGAGCTGCTTTATACCCTCCAGGGGGATTATTTGGCATTTATGGCTTCAAAGCAGTAATTTCTGAGACCCAGCTGTGGCTTATATTTCTTTCTTGATTTGTTGAAGCATCATTCTCTGTGTCTTGTTGACATCGCTTGCTTGGTCTGGGCCTGTGGAGAGTGTGATTGTGCGTGTTGGCTGCTGCAGGCACCCTGCTGTACTGGACATCACGGCTACAACACGTTCTGTCTATCCAAGCTATTTCCATATCCTGGGAGAAGGGTGCTATGAATGATCCTTGGATGGACAGTGGTAAAACAAACTCTATCAAATGAAAAATCTTATAATACATCTCCAGCCCTAGTAAGTTTTGGACTCTTTAAGAAAGTGAGGATTGTTCTTAGCATTTTAAATTTTAGGTGTGACTGTGTTTGAGGTAGTGTTTGTGTGTTTGAGTTGAAGTGTGCTTCCCAAGGGACATGAAGCAAGGACTGGACTTTGGGGGTAGACAGAAAAAGGCAGTTGCCTTCATGGTAAGTGACCACAGCCATCCTAGGATGAACCTAGTCTTCAGTAAAACCCTCCTCCACGCACTAGTCATGGCCTAGATCTCCATCATTAATGTCTTGCCTGTTGACTACAGATACCCTGGCTCATGGTAAGTGACCACAGCCATCCTAGGATGAACCTAGTCTTCAGTAAAACCCTCCTCCATGCACTAGTCATGGCCTAGATCTCCATCATTAATGTCTTGCCTGTTGACTACAGATACCCTGGGTATAGATGAAGCCCAGTAGTCAGGAGGGATGGGAAAGAAACAAGTTCCATTTACCTTCCAGGCACCAGGCACTGCTGAGCTGCTGTAGACATCCTGTCTCATTTAAACCCTAGAGCCCATTAGGATTTTGTTCACTGTGATGTACACTTTCTTATGCCCTTTTTGCAGAGAAGGACTTAGACTCAGAGAGAGCTAGTGGCTTGCCTAAGGTCCCACAGCTGGCAAGTGCCAGAACTGGGAGAGGGTGTACTCTTTCCATTCAGCTGTCTTATTCTTGAGTGGAAGAGGATTTGAGGGGTCCTGGGCAGCTTTAGGAGTGGGCACCAAAAGTATCTCACAGAGGCAGGAGAGAGGACACTAAAGAGGGTGTTTTGCCCAGATGTAACAGGTTGAATTGCAGGATGGAGCTCAGATTTCTCAGCAAAGCTGTTGATAAGAAAAAATAAAATAGAGGTAGCCCTTAGCCAGGGCATCTGAGTGGGAACCAGCAAAAAACTCAGTTAGCTGTACCTGCAGCTATTCTGTGTTCCCATTGGACTCTTAGCAACACATATCATCTTCAGTAGAGTTTGGGCTTAATAGAGCAGCATTAGACAAATCACAGCTCTTAGAGGAGTCACACAAGCCTGTTTTGAGTTTGAACCCTGACTCTGCTATTTACTAGCTGTGTGGTCTTAGACAAGTCACTTAAGTTTTTCAGCATCTATAACATGTGGGTAATGATTCCTGACTCCTGGGGCTGTTGTAAAGGTGAAGTGAGGTAAGGATGTCCAAGCCCTAACATGAGGTAGGGCATGTTAGCCCTTACTGACTGGGTGCAGGGCCAGTAGTGGTTGTGGTGACTGAAGCAGCAGCAAGTCTGTCTTCTTAGCGTCCCCTCTGCCTTCTGCACCCACAGTGCTACAGGGCGTGGACAATTCGCTGGTGGGCCTGCACAACCAGAGCTTCGCCCGGGTCATGGAACAGCGCCTGGCCCAGCTTTTCATGATGTCCCAGCAACAAGGTCGGCGGTTTAAACGAGCCACCACCCTGGGAAGCTACACTGTGCAGGTGGGTGTGTGCAAAGCCACTGGGGTTTTCTAATAACTGTGGGGGAATGTGCTTCCCGAGACTAAATAGACAACTGTGTACAGAAAAGCTGCAAACTGACTAAGCCATTTAATCAGCTCTGTTTGGGGGGTTGATGGTCTAACTGTCAGAAACATGAAGGAGGGTGAGAGTTAGCTATTCCTGCATTGTCACTGACTAGGTTATAAGGAAAGGAGGGCTCAGAACAAATTCTGCACACATGCTGATATTCATAAAACAAAAAATTATTAGTAAGCAAGCACAAAGGAGTCATTAACCTATTCTGTGATCTCAATGAAGTCCCAGCTCTCTGTCCTTTTAGGCCCTGTCACCACTACCATGAATGGCAGATGCACCAATATCCCAACACAGGATTCTAAGCTCATAGTGGACACACGACTACACAGAGATTTAGGCTAGCTGGGGAGAGGTAGCAGACACTAGTGGTGCTCTGCCCATAATCCCCTACCATTTCTGTGCATGCCAGTGGGAATTCCAACAGCTGGACTCTGAATCTTTATTGGAGGGCTGCTCTCGGGATGCCGGACCCCACTTTGCCCATGCCATGCTGGCCAGAACTGCCTGGGAATTAACCAGTGGGGGTGGGGGTGATAAATACCCCAGCTCCCTCACCCCTTGGCTAGGAGAATTCTGAAATGTATGTTTTAGATTATTTCCAGAGCTTTCCCACAGTATTAAGCTCTAGTTACCCACTCTGGTAACTTGCTTAATAATGCTCCTTTTCCAACCTGTATCACCTCCTCAGCCTCCTGTCGGCGCCTTATACCCCTTTTACAATCACTTGTCTCTTCTCAGGGTCTGCTTCTCAGGGAACCCAGTCAAGGCAGTAGCCATTCCCAAAGGTAGATTTTCTAAGCCTCTCTACATACCTTATTCAGTTTCTGCAAGAATGGATATATCTCTAGCATATTCTAGCCAAGCCGCATATTTTGAATATCACTAATTTCGCCAATGAGAATCCATCTCTAACATATGTTATGCTAATTAACAAAGCTCTGTTGAGCAAGGTATCTAATTACAGAAGCACTCCGGGTATCTGCCTCTGCAGTGTGGGCTTCCTAATTGGAATCTAGCAGACTAGCATATGAGCCTCTGATTTATAATTGACCGCATTTAGGGTGCAACTGATCCTCTGCACACATGCATAGTATTACACACTGTCCATGAGGAAGCGTTTTAAAGGAAATTGTAGATGTTTAGCATAATCTGTCTGCAGATCATGCCCCCAGGCAATCTTAAAAATCAAACAGTCCATTTTTTGGAACACACTTCCCTGCTGAAGTCCGCATCAAGCCCCTGATGAGACTCCAGGTCCCTCCATTCAGAGTTGGTGAATTTAGTCCCTTGTCCTACTGGATGTTGCTTGGATTCTAAGTCTTTGTGGCCTGTGATGAGCTTGTCACAGGGTAAAGCAATGTTTAATTTCATGGGCCAGGTTTATGATATCCCCTTTGTAGGTGAGCCCTGTAATTCACACTTCTCCATCTGACAGAAAGGAAGTGACCGTGAAATGAGATTTGTATCAGCCAAAGGGAGAGAAAGGGCTTCCTTGCAATCCTGGTGCCTGGTGATATTTGTGAACCTAAGAAACCTAACACATTCTGCATGTCTAAAAGGGCCTAGAGAGTCCCTCATTTTTTCTAAGTGCTTAGTGCACTTGGCCCCTGTAGCTGCCTGGAAAGTCTGAGTGAAGCAGGTGGGGTTTATTTCTGCAAATTCCTAATTTACAGAGGCTGTAGATCACCTTCTAACATCTTCTTTAAAGAAATCTTGATAAGAAGAATTTGCCATTAAATCAAAATTGAGTGAAGTTATTATAAGGTCATTCACCTTCTGCCTGGTTGTACTAACACTCTCCCTACCTTCTTTCCCACTAGGGAAAGGAATAACATGCCCAACTTTCCCAAAGAAAAATTCACTCTACATAGCTTACATCAGCCCATCATCCTTTCATTCAAAGACCTTTCTTCTAGGCTCAGATAATTTTGAAAGATGAGCTGCCTTCATGAATATGGAAATTTAGGAGTCTAGAATCAAAGATATATCTCTAGTTGATATATTTGAAGACTTGAGTCGTAAGAATAAATACATATGACCAATCAATGTTTTTAAATGTTTGACTTCATTTTAAACATTTGACTTCACAAGATGCCATTTTTACTTCCAAAGATTAGTAAAACAGTACCATTTTACACTCCCCCAAAACAGACATGGACTTTCAGTTGCTTCATATCCTTGTCAACACTTGGTGTTGTCAGTCTTTATTTTAGCCCATTCTGGTGGGTGTATAGTGATGTCTCGTGGTTTTAATTTGGATTTCCCCACTGAGCATTTTTTGTGTGCTTATTGGCTATTCAGATACTTTTCTTTGTGAAGTATCTGATCAGATCTTTTGCCATTTTTTATTGGGTTGTGGTAATATCTATTTTTTAATTGTTATATATAGCATACATACAAAAGAGTGCAAAAAATATGCAGAGTTTAAAGAACTAATAAAAAGAATCCACAACCCAAAGGATGAGAACATTACTCTTACCTTACCCCGGAAGACTTTTATGTGTCTTCTCTGATTATACTCCCTCCCCTCCATTAGAGTTGAGTATGATTCTGAATTTTGTATTAAATCATTCCTGTATTTCCCATATGGATATTACTGTCCATGTGTGTATTCCTAAATAGTACATCATGCAGTTTTGCCTGTTTTTGAATTTTATGTTCTGGGACTTGTTTCTTTTTCTCAACATCAGGCTTTTGTATTCATTCATATTGATAGGAATAGCTGTAGATCATCTGTTTTCACCACCCTGTAGTATTTCATTGTGTGACTAGACCATAACTCATTTATCTAGTCTACTATTAATGACTTTTGAATTTTCAGGTTTTATACTATTATGAACAATGTTGCAAAAACATTTTTGTAGTATCTTTTTTTTTTTTTTTTTCCCCTTTTTGTCTTTTTTTTTCGTGACCGGCAACGGATCGCAACCCTCAGTGTCGCGCCTGTACCGGACCGGGACCGGCCACGGGATCGCAACCCTCGGTGTTGCTCCCGCCCCTCGCTCAGCCAGTGAGCGGCCGGTCTGTATGTGGGATCCGAACCCTCGGCGGGAGCGCCACCACGCTTCCCAAGCGGCGCACTATAGCAGTGCGCCACCAGGCCGGCCCCTGTAGTATCTTTTAATATCCTATGAAACTCATAATCTGTAATATACACTTTGGAAAATACTGTACTGTAGTATAATGTTTATCAATTGTTAATTATAATAGTGAAAAGCTGATAACCTTAAATGTTCAAAAATAAAGGGTTAGTTAGGTTTACCAAACATGTATACGTAGAATACTATGTAGGTATTAAAATTTGTGTTATAGTATTTATGTTTATCAATTGTTAATTACAATAGTAAAAAATTAATAACAATCTAAATGTTTAGTAATAAAGGATTTATCAAATAAGTTTTTGAGGTGTGCATGGGAATGTCATATAGAGATAAACATTTATGCTTTTGTTACATTTAAGGCCATTTAATGATGCAAGTAAAAATAGCAAGATATGATATACAGAGAATATAATAAATAATTTCATAAAATAACAAGAAAAAGGTGTGTGTGGATAAAAGCAAAGAATAGAAGCAAATACTCCAAAATGATAACATAATTAGCATGTGGTAGAAGGATTACAGATTGTTTTAATTTTATTTCATTTCTTGATGCTTTTCCATGTTTTCAAATTTCCGATAGTGAATATCTATAACTTTCACAGTGAAAAAAAAGCAAAATTGTTATTTTAGACAAAGAACTTTGAGTTTCCAGGTACTGCTTTTATCAGAGATCTTTTGAATCACAGACATACACAAGTAAGTTAATTTTTTTCCTTTCTGGCAATTGCAGATACTTGAAATTAAAAATCTTGTTTGAGAGTAACCCGACATGCCCTGAATTACATGTGGAAGCCTATTTTCAAATGAGGCCAGAGTTCTGTGGAGGCTGGGAGCATCTCTCTTCCATGTTTTTTTCTCCATCCTCAAACTGTTCTTTCCAGATGTTCATATTTCTCAAAACGTTTTTTCTTCTCGTCCCCTGCTGTCACGATAGTGGGCTTCCTGAGATGCTGGATATAGGGAGGCACACAAAGGTTGAGGTCTAACGCATATGTGTGGGTCCACTTAGCCCCAGAAGCTTCAGAGTCAGGAGAGGAGCCTGCTGATTGCCTGGTGATTGCGTGGTTTGTGCAAGATGCCCTGTAAACACACAGCTTCTCTTTTTCTGGAAGATGGTGAAGATGCAGCGTGTGCCAGGACCGAAGGACCCGGCGGAGCTGACTTACTACACCTTGTATAATGGGAAGCCCTTGCTGGGAACTGCAGCGGCAAAGATCCTGAGCACCATTGACTCCCAGAGGATGGCCTTGACCCTGCATCATGTTGTCCTTCTACAAGCTGACCGTAAGGGCATAGTCTTTTTATTCAGTATTTCTAATGCCATTAAATGTTTCCTGCAAGTTAAAGTGATTCCCCATGTTGATGGTCTTGGAGCTAATCATATTTCTGTTTTGGAAGGTTCTTAAATCAATCAGCTATGTTTTTGGTGTTTTTTGAAGCAATAGGTTTTGGGTAAAGGATACATTTTGGATATTAGAATGATGGTAATGATATCACTCTGACCTCAAGTCCTACCCACTCTTCCTTCTTAGTGTGATCTAGTGAACAGTTATGAAAAACCACTATAGCTGAGATTATATTTGTATGCTGGGGGAATTAAAGATAATTTGACTCAGCAAACATTTGTAGAGTCCTCTATGAAATGTGCTTACTGCTGGAGAGCATACAGAGGTGGGCATGACCTGGTTCTCACCTTTAAGGAGCAGGGTGAGTGGATGCAGATGCAATGGAATATAACATAGAGAAGCACCATGAGATGGCAATGTGACACAGGGGTCAACATGGGGAGGGACATTCAGAAAGAATGAGCAGAGGAAGGATATGAAAAATAATAGCTGCCTCTTGGAATACCCTCCCTGGTGGCAGCTACTATGCTAGTTACTTTGCCTAGATTTTCTCTTTCTCCTCTCATTGGGGCAATGCTTATTCAGCTCCAAATTATAGGAGAGGAAACCAAGGTCAGAAAAGATAAACAACCTGCTCAGCATTACAGAACAAGTATCTAAGTAGCCACGATATGAATCGATCTGTCTGACTTCAACCCCATGTTCTTAACTATATTACACTTTAAGATTTTAGCAGTGTCAGAGAAGGGGTGTGTGTGTTCTAGAAAGAGAGGGCAACATGAGCCAAGAATGGAGGTGAAAAGTACCAGGTGTGCTTGAAAACCAAGGCGTTCAAATTGCCTGGAGTGAAGAAGCAGATGGAGGAGAGGATGGAATTAGAAAGGTATATGGATTTGGAAACTCGGGCCTTGAATGGGGGGGGGGAGGAGATTGTACAAAGATGGTTGGCTGTGGGGCACAATGGAAGATTTCTGAGCAGGGGAGTAAAATCACTGGGACTACCCATTATTTAGGGAGATTACTCAGTCAGCAGTGTCCAGGATGGAAGGAGACACGAAGTGGCAGGACCAGTGAGGAGGCTCCATCATGTCCCAGGCATTGGGGACCCAATCATAGGCAATAAAGAAAGTGGGGGGAGGGAGGGCATGAAGGTGAGAGATTGTGTGGTAGAGTTTAGTATTTGGCACCATGCTGGGCATGGAAGGGCGTGGAAATCCATCTCCCGTGGGTTTCCTAGTTGGTGTCTATGCTCTTCAAGAACCTGACACCTGCTCGGGGTTTTCCTCTCCTCCTCATCTCTTGCCTTCATCTGGGTGACTTTTGCTTCCAGGGTGATGGCCCTGTACACATGCTGCCATGCTCCACCAGCACATCCTCACAGACACACCTTTGCCTAGGAGCGATGATGGTCACTCTCTGCAATCTGGTTTTCGAAATGACATTTTAAGCCAAGAGTCTCTTCCTTCTCTCCTTGTGGGCTCTGTCCTCATCTTTGGTTGGCTACTTGCTTCATCTGTTTTGCTGCATTCTCTTCACATGGATTCCCCAGGGTTCTGTTTTCAGCTCTTTCTCCCTCTCTGTAGGTGGAGAACAAGTCATAGAGGACAGGAGTGAGAACAATTGCAGGTGCCTGGGCGAGAGGTGGAGGTGCTAGAGGTGGAGACTCTCGGGGAAGTGGGTGGGTTCGGGATATTTTTGAAGACCGAGCCGATGGGAGAAGATAATGGATTTTGTATGTGGCAAGAGGAAGGTGTGGGTCAGAGGAGTCAAGGGTGACTCCTAGGTGTTGGCTTGAGCACTGCTTGTAGTTCCATTTGTTGAGATGCAGAAGATGCAGGACAGAGAGGTTTAGTGGGGCTGGAATAGGAATGGGGGAGCTGGAATTGAGAGTCTGGTTTTAGACATGTTAGACTGGAGATGTCTCAACACATGGGTGACATTGAGAGCTAAGGGAGTAGGCGGGAACAACTAGGAGATGAATCCAGCTGGGGAGTAAAGGGGGAAACTGAGCGCTGGGGGATCCACGTGTGGGAAGAGCAGAGCCAGCATCGGACCCTGAGAAGGAGCAGCCAGGGAGGTGGGAGAAACCCTGGGAAAGGGTGGGGCTCAGAAAGCAAGCAAAGAAAGTGAATCTTACAGAAGGGAGTGAGCGACTCTGTCTACTTATATTCTCGAGAGGCAGAATACAATAGGATAGAGATTAGCGGGATTTGGTGAGATAGAGGTTGCCAGTGCCCTTGGCAGGAGTGGTTTCCAGGATGAGGTGGGCTGAGGAGAGGATGGGGATGGGGAGGCAGCTACAGTGAAGGGGAGAAGATTAATGGGGCAGGTGCTGCAGGGGCACGTGGGAGATAGTGGCCTGTGTGTGAATATTGATGGGGACGCTGTAATCGAGTGAGAGAAGTCAACAGCACAGAAGAGAGGCAAGAATTGTAGGAGCAAAGTCCTTTGGTGGATGGGGGGTGGGACCTAGTGCACGAGTGGCGGGGTCTGCAGGGGCAGCGCAGCCTTTCGTAACGGGAAGGAAAGTAGAGTTCAGGGGTACATTTGGTCATGGAGGCCTGAGGACATTTCCTCTGTTTCTGCTCTCCTGGGACAAAGTGAAGTGATGTTGGCAGCTGAGGTCGAGCTTGTGTGGGAGGCATTTGAGCAGGTGCAGTAGTAACACACACGGAGGACAGAAGTGCAAGCTGATGAGAGAAGTGCTGTGAGATTGGCAGGACTCCCTCCTCCCTGGTCCTCACTGCCACGTCCCGACCGTTTCTTCTATTCTTTCACAGTCCCACATCCTCTGAAGCTCCTGCTTCCTTGCTGCTGAGGTCTGATGAGAGAAGTGCTGTGAGATTGGCAGGACTCCCTCCTCCCTGGTCCTCACTGCCACGTCCCGACCATTTCTTCTATTCTTTCACAGTCCCACATCCTCTGAAGCTCCTGCTTCCTTGCTGCTGAGGTCTCTAGACCCCAGGGGACCTGCATCAGTCACTGGAGGTTTTCCCACCTGTTTCAGTGTCCCTTCCTCTCCAGCACTTCTGTCCCAATCGGCCTGCTACTTTGGCCTCTCAGTTCTATGACCCCCTCAATTCTGCTCGAGGCCTCGTGGGGCTTGGGAAGGGGTGGGAAGGAGAACTGGCTTCATCGAGAGCAGGAGGTGAACAGAGTGTCAGGAGAAGAGGCTGCGGCAAAGGGGACTTTGCTGGTGGCAGTTAATGGGGGACAGTGGCAGGGTTTAATAACTGGGGGCTGTGAGAGCAACCTCATCAGGTCAAATGCACAGAGCCTTTTGGAAAGGAAAGTCTGGGTGGCAAGGGATGGCCAGAGGCTCTGCTGTGGCTCAGAGAGCGGGGTCCCACCTGTCTGCCTGGCTCCAAAGCTGCTACCCTCTGACCCTTTCCCCTCTACTCCTTTGTCTCCTTCAAACCTGCGTGATCCTCTCAGGTCCCTTCTACAGTAACTCACACGTCTGTTTCCTTTTCTCCATTTCCTCCTTCTCTCCTAATTGGACTGTGGCACTAGCTTCCCAGATGACTCAGCCTGTCACTCTCCCACGAATGTGCTTCCTCCACTGCAATTAGAGTCGTTGTGATACAACATAGAGTCAGATCTCAGATCTTTTCCACTTTAAGCAATTTTTGGTGGCCCTCCATCATTTATAGAATAAAATCCAAACTCCTTGAAATGGGTCTTCACAACAGGTGCTTGGCAGGTGTTCAGGTCTCTTCACAACCTGGTCTCTGTGCTTCTTTTCCACCCGTCCCGCCTGCTTTTCTTTCCTTCGTATCTCAAGCTTCAGCCAGTAGGAACATTCATCCTTCACTTCCCAGCTCCTGGGAGCCTTCCCTGATCCCGGAGGCCCTGCCCTCCATCTCCTTAGTTCCAGGAGCTTCCACTGCCTTTATCACATAGGGCAGTGATGAATTGTTTCCTGTCTGCCTTCCTCATGAGCTCTTTAAAAAGACAAAGGAACCAACCTTTTTGAAATGCCTCTGGCAGGCCCTGAGAGAGGTGCGTGGCTAGAAGACGCCAGAGCAGAGCAGTTGAGGGCAGAGCTTTGAAATGAGGCAGACCCGGCTCATGTCCCTGCCCTTCCACTGTCTAACTGTGAGCTTAGAGCCAAACTAATTAGCCCCTCTGACCTTCATTTTCCTCATCTGTAAAATGGTAATATAAAAAACACCTACCTAATACAGCTACTTAGAGAATTAAAAGAGATAAATTGCCTGTTAGGGCTTAGTGCAGTCCTGGGGCACCTATCAATCACTTAGGAAGTCGTAACCAAATCTCGTTTCTCCATAAGGTGGGAGGACTAAGGGGAGAGGAAATGAGGAACGAAAGGTGATTGGAAGGCAGAGATCCCATGTGCTAGAGTGTGGGTGCTACTGATGACCGTAGACAGGGACTTGGAGAGGAGAAGCATTTTTATAAAGGAGAAGGTAATTTATTGTTTGGGCCGTGTTGAGTTTAAGGTGATGGCAGATTGAGGGGATGCCAATGGGATGTTGAAGGGGTGCTGTTGGGATATGGATGAATGGTTGGGATACGAAAGGATGTTGATAGGATATCCTATTGAGGTTAGGAAATGTGTTCGGAATTCAAGCCTAGATCTCAGGAGAGAGATTCAAGTTAACACTATAGACTTTGAAAACTACATGGATACAGGTTAGAATTAAAATCCCAGAAAAAGGGCCGGCCCGGTGGTGCACTGCTACAGTGCGCTGCTTGGGAGCGCGGTGGCGCTCCCGCCAAGGGTTCGGATCCCACATACAGACCGGTTCCCGCTCACTGGCTGAGCGAGGGGCGGGCGCAGCACCGAGGGTTGCGGTCCGTTGCCGGACACAAAAAAAAGACAAAACGGAAAAAAAAAATCCCAGAAAAAGCTGCAAGTACTTGAGGAAAGAATATAGCTAGAGGATAGAAGAGGAAAGCGAGAGGACAGACTCT